TCAATAAACCTTAGTGATGGTCAGTTCAAAACTGATAATATGTTACATAAATTTATTTGTCAGTGGCCCAAGGTTAAAAATGCTTTGAAAACCTTTGATCTTGATGTATGATAGTTATTTTGTGGGTCCCTTTTTTCTGACCTGACCTGTCTAGTCACGTCATCACCCTTCTCTTAAGCTCCTCTACGTGTGTGTTGGTGTGGGGATTAGTGGATGTCATCATTATGACCTGACCTCATGTTTTTAGGTCACCCTGTATATTTAAGCCTCTCTCTGTCCATGTAATCCAGTTGCCTCTGAAGATGTCTTGAATAAAGACGAAAGCTAAGGTACTCCGTTGTTTCCATTTTCCCGTGTGATTTTATATATATATATATATATATATATATATATATATATATATATATATATATATATATATATATATATATATATATATATATATATATATATATATATATATATTTATATATATATATATATATATATATATATATATATATATATATATATATATATATATATATATATATATATATATATATATATATATTTGTGTAATAAATGTATGTAGTAAGTACATACCGGTAACCTTTTTCACTCAAATCCTAATGAAACACCACAATTAGAATACGGTGGTTGCTGTTGAACCACCTGTTGTATAAATAGTCGGAACACAGCCACACCACCGAGACGAGGGAACACTCCCACCACCGATCGTCTCGTGTGAAGCAAGCGTATAAATGAAAGAAAATACTTGCAGTGTGTTTAATATGTTACAGTATATTATAAATAAATAAATAAATAAACAAATAAATCGGTAAATCCATTTCAAGTAAATGGAAAAATTTTACTCGATACCGACATTAGTTCCAGTTATCGGTAAATAGCAGACGCTTCAGTGACGTCACTAGTGTTTACACTACACCAGCGGGTATAATTTGATGACATTACTTGAAGTGAATTGGCCTTATTTTAAAAAATCAAGGATGGTTGGTAAAGGACTACTGAGTCAGTGGGTAAGTGTCACATTTGGGGTACTGGTCTTATACAGCAAATAGAGCTCAAAAGCTACTTTTTAAATGGAAATTTGGGGGGGGCGTCTTATGCACCCCGCCGCCTTATAGGCCGTGATATACGGTACATGCATTACTACTGTACTACTAACACCCATTTTGTTTAGGTTTTGTGTAGGGGTAGGATAAAATAGTTTTGGCATGTGGAGAGAATGGAAGATACCATCTCAGTCAAGAGATGCATGAAGGGAGAACTAGGGGTAGAATAATAATAACATGGGGAGAAATTGTAAGAAATGACCTTAAAGGTAAGAACCTGATGAGTAAGGCTGCAAGAGACCATACGGCATAGTGCATTTCAGATAATTCAGACTTCCCCATGCAAGTGTGGAAAATGGCTATAACATGCTGATTATCATGATGAAGAAGAGTTACATTCAGTAGGATCTCAAGTTAAGCGAATTTTCGATTCACAATTTATGTTTCGTGCCACTTTTAAAATTTCCAGCCTTTCAAGAATAGTGATTTTCATTACCGGTTTCGCGAGTCAATGGAGAGTGGGCAGCGTGCAGTGTCACAGCCCTTTGTTAGCCACCGTGTTTGGTGTTTACAGCAGTTAGCTTGAATGAGCGAGAGCGAGCGGTGCAGTGACCTTGGATTATAATATAACCCACTGTGCTTACGTTTTGGGAGATTCTTGTGTAACTATTAATGATTCTTGGGTATTAAGGATTCTTGTGAATTAACAATTCTTGTGTATTAACGATTCTTGTGTATCAATGATTCTTGTGTATTAATGATTCTTGTGTAACTATTAATGAATCTTGGGTACATGTAGGTCATTATAGGGGTGTTCGGGTGATACCGCAGAACTGATTAAGCTTATTTGCATGTATTTCAATGTCACTCATTTCTCGATGCTAAGACTGGTACTAATTTGTCGTGAAACTTGATATCCAACTGTAATAACCATTAATACTTTTCTGGAAAAGTGGAAGTGAGTTGTATGATAATTACAAAATGCCCAATAATGTTTCCTTTATTCCAAGAGCAAGTCGAAGGAAGGAAAGAAACTGTAAGTAAGGTAGATTATGTGAAGAACTTAACAAAATAGGTTCATGGATGTTAAGCCATCTAACCTTCCATTCCCACAAGAAGAAGGTTTGATGTGAGGGGACCCCAGTTGTTTTTCTTCTCCTGAATGTTGAGCCACTGCCAATTGAAGTGCAGGAAGTCCGTCACAATACTTTGGCCAACTGTATTGTCTAAACCCTGCTGCAGGTAAACTCTGTTGGTGGAAGTTTTGTAGTATTAGGCTCAATTAACCTGTGGAATAAGTTTAAAATAAAATGCTTCATCAGAGCAATATTCTTTCAAACATACATTATACAGTACTGGGCTTCTATAAAATATTTTTATCAGAGTAGAGTAGAACCCTAATTAAACAATTTTGATGTAACAAGCTTCTTAATGCGTGGTGTAAGTCCAGAGCTCAGTCACGAAAAAAATAAAGAAAAACAATATGAGAAATATCAAAATTAGTGTTAGCCCTTTGTGTACAGGTTGCCTTTGAGCTAATTAATATTGTCTAGCATTAGTCAAATAAAATGTTAAAAGTGGTGTTTACGTAGTGAAGGCGCTAAACGACAAGATGATTTATGAGATTGTTTTAAACAAAACAAAAACAAAAACAAAAACAAAAAATTTAATAAAAATATGACAATTTCAAAATTTATATGAAGCAGCCAGAAATGTCAAGATTTACTTAGAAAGAATTAAAAAAAAAAGAAGAGAAAATTGTACAAGGAAATATGTATAAATCACAATTGATGTAATACATGAAGCCTAAGCTTCTCGTGATATCACAACTTTTCCCCCTTTTAAAACATCTCAACACATCCAATTTTACATGTAAAATGACACTTCCTTTGTTTCTTCTGTACTGTACATGACAACATTCTGTGGTTATATATCACATTCTGTCTTTATGGCATATGAGTAAGCTGCATAGATCTGTGACATGGTGTGGGGTCGAACTGTACCCACTGAAAAACACAGATCACTAAACTGTAATATGACTCAATATTTATATCAAATACTTTATGACCCACCACAGCAAATGTAAACCTAATGATTCCCTGTCCTCATTAATGGCAGTGTGGGCTGGTGCATCATCTGCCAGTACATCCCGTTGTTGAAATATGTTTAATTATCACATGTAAAAGTAAACAAAGAGTATAATATTATGACAAATTTAAGACTTTAGACTGTACTTCATAATTTTCCAATTGTGAGTAAATCTTACTTCGTTTTTTTTATTGGGCACCCCCTACATCCTTGTGTAAAGTGAAGCGCAGAACCGGTTACAGCGCCCAACAGGGAAGCATGCTAAGTTCATGCTTGCCTTATGTCTCATGAGTTAAGGACGTAGAAGCCTGAAGAGTCAAGGGCATAGATGCCTAAAGAGTCAATGGTTTATGTCTAAGCAAGTTATTGGAAGCTCCAACAACTTGTCCCTGAATACAAATTCGCAACTTTTGATTTACAGCAGGTACCTACTTTGCTGCTAGTTGAACAGGGACCAAGGGACTAGGAAGAGTGTCCAAACAACTTCCACCAGCCCAGGAATCGAACCCGTGACATCTTGCTTGCGAGGCAAGAGCGGTACCACTCCACCAGCGCCCCCCCAGTAAATCTTACTGTTTGATATAAAATACAGTCAACCCTCACTTTACGCGGTTAATTCAACCCACAGGGTACTGCGGAAAATGAGAAACGCGTAAAGTGAAGAACATAACATATGGGATTAATTGAAATAGAGACCGACTGACCCCCAAACTCCACTTTTTCCGACAAAATACCTATGTTCTAGTAAAAATAACATCTTAATTTTATGATGGTACACGCACACAATTAATACTTAAGAGAAATAGAGAAATACAGTCGCCAAGTTAATGTCCATTCAAATAATGGACTCGACTCCCTCCCCCTCTTTTCACTACACTCGCTGCCTCTTCCCTCTCTGAGAAATTTTTGGGGGAAAACCACTAGATTTTAAGGTATAGTAATAAATAATACCTCAAACTAAAGTTAGGATAATATAATTGACATTGCTGGATTCCTTGTAAGACCAGGAATATTTTGAATATAAATGTCATATATTTTGCACAAAAGATAACATATTTACTCAGAGTAAACAAAATACTTACATTAGATCTAAAATTTGTATGTCTAATGCAAAATCTATGATGTTTATATTCAAAATGATCATCAAAGTGTAAGAATTCCAGCAATGTAAATTATATTCTGGCCGGGTAATTTGTATGAATTATATGAGCTAAAACAAATATCTTCAGTTAATAAAAAAAAAAAATATTCTTCACACCATGCCGGATGGTCAGACGGTCCCTCCCTCCCCCCCACCCCCCACCAAACCTCCTTACCAGATAAATGTGTGGGAAAACCAGACTATTTACCTTTTTAGTAATAAATAATACCTCAGACTGAAGTTAGGATAATATAATTGACATTGCTGGATTCCTTGTAAGACCAGGAATATTTTGAATATAAATATCATATATTTTGCACAAAAGATAACATATTTACTCAGAGTAAACATTATATCTAAAATTTGTATGTCTAATGCAAAATCTATGATGTTTATATTCAAAATGATCATCAAATTGTAAGAATTCCAGCAATGTAAATTATATTCTGGCCGGGTAATTTGTATGAATTTTATGAGCTAAAACATATATCTTCATTAAATAAACAAAGAAATATTTGAAAATGCGCTCCGAAATCCATGCCGGAAAACTGAAGGTTCCGGTTTATCGGTTGCCGGATTTTTGATAGGCCACCTATATATATATATATATATATATATATATATATATATATATATATATATATATATATATATATATATATATATATATATATATATATATATATATATATATATATATATATATATATATATATGTGTAATAATATGTATGTAGTAAGTACGTACCGTAATCTTTTTCACTCAAATCCTAATGAAACACCACAATTAGAATACGGTGGTAGCTGTTGGTAACTGTTGTATAAACAGTGGGAACACAGTCCCACCACCGAGACGAGGGAACACTCCCACCACCGATCGTCTCGTGCGAAGCAAGCGTATAAATTAAAGAAAATACTTGCAGTGTGTTTAATATGTTACAGTATATTATACAGTGGGTTATGCTATAACGAACGGATCCTACTACGAATATTCCTATAACGAACGGTTTTACCTATAAAATTGAGAATGCTATAACGAACGCAACTCCTACAACGAACGCGGATGAATACCGGACTATTTCGCCTGGTGCATGAATATTGTTGTACCGCGACCCACAACAAGAGCGTCAGGCGCCATCTTTGTCTCATTGTGTAGCCAGTGCACCACTGTTATTGTTGAAATTTCGTCTTTTGATGTGGAAATTCGCGTTATTTGTATAACTATTTTGTTATACAAGTATACAATTGTAACAATGAGTCGTCCAAAGCGAGTGAGAAAGCTAATAACCCTTGAAACTAAGAAAGAAATCATAAAGAAATGTGAGGATGGAACAAGCATTGCGAAACTTAGTGATGAATATGGGATGGCTAAATCGACTATATGTACGATTTTGAAGAATAAAGAGGAGTTAAAAACTGTGCAAGTGGCTAAGGGAATCTTTAGACTTAGCAAAGCAAGGTGTAATGTGATTGAAGAGATGGAAAATTTACTCTTAGTGTGGATAAAGGAGAAAGAAATGGCAGGTGGTAACATTAGTGAAGCTCTAATTTGTGAGAAGGCCAGACAATTGTTTGAGGACCTTAAAGCCAAGACTCCCAGTGGAAGTGATAGTGATGTGCCAGTGTTTAGGGGTACCTGCATGCTGAATAACACTAAGGTAAGATAAAGTACTATATTTTTTACATTTTCCACAGAATTGTTTCAGTGTTAAGTGGTTGTATTTGGGGGCCTGGAACGGATTAATCCTATAACGAACGAATGCTATAACGAACGAGGTTCTGGAACCAATTACGTTCGTTATAGCATACCCCACTGTAAATGGAAACATTTTACTCGACACCGACATTAGTTCCAGTTACCGGTAAATAGCAGACGCTTCAGTGACGTCACTAGTGTTTACACTACACCAGCGGGTAACATTTGATGACATTACTTGAAGTGAATTGGCCTTATTTTAAAAAGCCAAGGATGGTTGGTAAAGGACTACTGAGTCAGTGGGTAAGTGTCACATTTGGGGTACTGGTCTTATACAGCGAATAGAGCTCAAAAGCTACTTTTTAAATGGAAATTTGGGGGGCTGTCTTATGCACCCCGACGCCTTATAGGCCGAGATATACGGTAGTCCTTTACCAACCACCCTTGGTTTTTTAAAATAAGGCCAATTCACTTCAAGTAATGTCATCAAATGTTACCCGCTGGTGTAGTGTAAACACTAGTGACGTCACTGAAGCGTCTGCTATTTACGGTAACTGTAACTAATGTCTGTGTCGAGTAAAATTTTTCCATTTACTTGAAATGGATTTACCGATTTATTTGTTTATTTATTTATTTATAATATACTGTAACATATTAAACACACTGCAAGTATTTTCTTTCATTTATACGCTTGCTTATATATATATATATATATATATATATATATATATATATATATATATATATATATATATATATATATATATATATATATATATATATATATATATATATATATATATATATATATATATACATACAGTGAGCCCTCACTTTACGCGGTTAATTCAACCCACGGCGGCCCGCGTAAAGTGGATATATCTTGAATAAGGAATCCACAGATTCAGATGGATTAGTGAACAAAAAGACTTAGCTCTAAACAATGTTATCCATGGCCTGTTAGAATCAACGTTACACTCAATATTATCCAGCAACTGCATGTCAGTCGACAGCAGCCTGTTTCCACTCGCAGTAACCAACACTTTTGCCCCAGGTGGAAGTGGTTGCCAAGATGTGGATAGGATGAAATCAGTCTCAACAGGTTCTTCCTGCTCAAGAGACTGAATACTATGATTAGAACCAGGCTCATCGTCCTGATCCTGGAATCCACTGAAATCAGATTGAGTAGATAGAGGTTTCTGTGGACTTCCTACTACCTCACAGTCTGGAGGGTCCAATAACTTATTTTTCTTAGTAGCAGCAGTCTTGTCTAAGTGGGGATTAAGTCTTTTACCTAACACCAATAATCCTAAACCTTCTGCTAACTTGGGATATTTCCATTGTTGTACATTCAAAAATTTACTCTTCAAGGCCTTATTCCACCTATTTTTAATTTGTAATTGCAATAAATCTTTCTTATCACCTGTACCTTGATGAAATTGAAAAATTTGATCATAACAACTGCACAATCCATTGGTGAAAATAGGTTATTTGAGACACAGCTGCCATGAATTATGCAAGCCACATGAGGATCTATCTTAGTAATCCAAGTCGCTGTACATTTTTTATAATTACATGTAGTATGGCCCCCTTGGGTCTTGGGTGAAACTACTACTACTGAATTCAAATTCTCTACTGACAGACAATTCCTTGACTGTAGTGCCTGAGCTGAACTTTCTAGTCCTTGTAGCTCAGCACTCAATAGTATCTCCTCAGGGACAGTTCCATAGTCTCCTCCATTATCCTTAGGCCCGGAGTCCTGACCTTCATCCTCCAGTTGAACATCACTCATCTGAACTAGGAGGATACCATGAGTCACTTTATATCATTATAACACAAAGTAATAATAATAATTAATAAGGGAGAAAGCATTTTCTCCCAAACTTAATCAATATGACTCATAAATGTTATATTATTCGTAAGTTAGTGTTATACAAGTCACTCCTATGACCAATATAAACAATAACTCACTATTTCGTATCTGTCTCTCGACTCTTATTTATCAAGTATCCCTTAGCTCAATGAAACTTATTTATTTAAATTTGTTTTTATAAAATAATTTCATTCAGAACATTTATTGAGAGGAATCATCAAGATCTTTATTTGTTGCCAATCAGGGGCACAGACATTATCCCCAAGTAAACACTTAAGGGAAAATTCCTACGTGCGCACTATCACCCGGCAGGGTTGACAGTGCTGAGCCGCTAACATAGCGATCTATTGGCAGCAAAGTTCACTGTTACTCTAGCAATATTTATTGGGTTGAGAATTCCACCCTGCATTGGTCTCATATAACCCATAGAACGTGTAAAGTCCATTTCAACATAACTCTAGATTGCTAGTAAGACCGGAAGGTCAACATTCCGGAAGGAACGCTAAGTCTAGCAGCCTCGCTAAAGTTCGCCTGAACCCGCTACTGAGGACATCAAAGTTATGAAGAGACAAACTCAACTCTGGCCTTTTTGCTGAGAACAAATAGAAACCCAAGGGCGGAAGCCCAAAGGTTTTGTGAACGTACATAAGAGTAGGGAGAGAGACAGTCATTGTATTCATATTAGCACGTGAATAATTGGGACAAAGAGATCGTAAACAATATACATATATATGTATATATATAGTGGGGTATGCTATAACGAACGGATCCTACTACGAATATTCCTATAACGAACGGTTTTACCTATAAAATTGAGAATGCTATAACAAACGAAACTCCTACAACGAAAATTATTTAAAAAAAAAAAAATTTTTTTTTTTTTTTTTTTTTTTACTAATTTATTGTTTTTTTATTACAAGTATTAATGATATTCTTTATTTCAGGGGTTTAAATGCAAATATGTATGCACTTTGAACAATTTTTACAATTTTATATTATATTTTTCAGTGTTAAGTGGTTGTATTTGGGGGCCTGGAACGGATTAATCCTATAACGAACGAATGCTATAACGAACAAGGTTCTAGAACCAATTAGATTCGTTATAGCATACCCTACTATAAAAAGATATATTCACATATTCTCTTTTAGTGAAGACGAGCCCGAGAGGGGGCAGCGACATTCACTGAGTGACTTAAAGGCAAGGGATAGTCACAACGATCTAAACGACTTACAAAGAAAATGTGTTTTGGTCGCCATGCTGCTCCAAAGTCGTATAAGAAAATGTCCCAAATACAATAAATGAGAGACGTAACAAAATAAAAGTCACTCTACTTCATCACTGTGCTAGTAAGTACAAATACCGGATATAATATCCTTGCGGAGGTGAGTATTTCAGCAATTAGAACACAAATTCGCGGAGCTTCCCTTTGTGTGTATTATAGCTGAATCGCCAGGTAATAGATGAGGTTCGCGATGCACATAGTGGGGGTGAACGAAGGGGGGTTTGAGAATTGCAATTAAATGCCAGGTAGCGACGTGTCCTCCTAATATTACTTATTAAGTAATTATTAGATGTTTTAATTGCCTGTATGCTGGCCTGGCGAATTGGCTAGGAATTAACATACCTAGGTAGCATTTGCTGACATTGCATTCAGCTTGAATTTTTTTTTTTTTTACGGGATTAGCCCACCCGGGCACAGGTCACTAACCCACATCGGGGCCTGGGGGACGATAATGTAATAATATTAATAATGATAATGAAAATAATAATAATAATAATAATACTGTAGTAATAAAGAACCATAAAGAAATGCAAAAATGAAAAAAAATCAAGAGTGAGAAACAATGTACCTGTATGTATGTTGTGTTGTCAATAGTAAGAGAAATAATTGAGACCCTGCAATTGTGTGTAAATGAGGCAGAAAGTCAGATCAGCAACCTGGGACTTCGTCACAATTTTTGTGATGACATATGTTCTTTGACTTTCCCATTTTTTATTCACGGTTTCTGTGCGGGTTCATATTTATTTACTAAAGTGGTTAATGTTTTAAAGCAAATTCTATTGAAATATGAATGGCAAATGTACAAAAATGAACAATACCTATGTTCTAGTAAAAATAACATCTTAATTTTATGATGGTACATGCACACAATTAATACTTAAGAGAAATAGAGAAATACAGTTGCCAAGATTATGTCCATTCAAATAATGGACTCAACTCCCTTCCCCTCTTCTCACACTATACTCCCTGGCTCTTCCCTCTCTGAGAAATTTTTGGGGGAAAACCTCTACATTTTAAGGTATAGTAATAAATAATACCTCAAACTAAAGTTAGGATAATATAATTGACATTGCTGGATTCCTTGTAAGACCAGGAATATTTTGAATATAAATGTCATATATTTTGCACAAAAGATAACATATTTACTCAGAGTAAACATTAGATCTAAAATTTGTATGTCTAATGCAAAATCTATGATGTTTATATTCAAAATGAGCATCAAATTGTAAGAATTCCAGCAATGTAAATTATATTCTGGCCGATGAATTTGTAAGAATTTTATGAGCTAAAACAAATATCTTCAGTTAATAAAAAAAAAATATTCTTCACACCGCGCCAGATGGTCAGTTGGTCCCTCCCTACCCCCCACCAACCCTCCCTACCAGAGAAATGTGTGGGAAAACCAGAATATTTACCTTTTTAGTAATAAATAATACCTCAGACTAAAGTTAGGATAATATAATTGACATTGCTGGATTCCTTGTAAGACCAGGAACATTTTGAATATAAATATCATATATTTTGCACAAAAGATAACATATTTACTCAGAGTAAACATTAGATCTAAAATTTGTATGTCTAATGCAAAATCTATGATGTTTATTTTCAAAATGATCATCAAATTGTACGAATTCCAGCAATGTAAATTATATTCTGGCCAGATAATTTGTATGAATTTTATGAGCTAAATAAAAAAATTATACTTCACCCGCCCCGCGGAATGTGAGCATCCTGGGTTCCGGCAGGGCACCGCGAATGTGGGACCGCGTAAAGTGAGGGTTGACTGTATTAACCAACCTTTTCGATTATCCGTCGGCCCCTTCCCCCCATATGTGGTCGGTTAATCGAGGTTTTACTGTACCTCAAAATAAAAATGCTTTGTCTTGATGAGAGCTTTCATTTGACACCAATATGGTCTTTGTGGCACCTTCCATTGCTGTTGCAGGTTATGACATAATGTGACCCCTAAAGGTTAAGTTAGTGACCTTATTTGGGGTCAAATGTTTTGAGCACCTTCAAAATCTATATGACCACGCTAAAAATCGCTTTTCACAAACATTATAACAAACCACGGTGCTGCCGACCCCACTATAGGTGAAGAGTTTTCAGTTAGTGTACAGTAGACCCTTGCTATTTGAGGGGGTTGGATTCCAAGAAATGGCGCGAATTGGCAAAATCACGAATATCAACTTATACTACCTTAGTGCACTACTGTATAGAGCCTCCCCGACTTACGACCTACTTGACTTACGACCACCTGCACTTACGACCTGCCTCAGTCGTACCAAAATTTTGTTAAATTACGTATTTTCAAGTCCCAACGTCAGTACAGACAAAATTTTCGTTTGTAATTCACTTTAAAATGGCTGGCAAGCTTAAAAGTAAGAGTTTTGTGGTGCTGAGAAGAAAAAGAGACACCTATTTTAGATTTTCTATGTACTGTATTATTTAAGCATTCTCAACTTACGACCATTTCGACTTACGACCTGGATTTGGGTCCCTAACCCCGTCGTAAGTCGGGGAGGAGCTGTATACCTATTACAAACAACTGACCAGCAGTAGTAGCACTCATCCCCTCTTTTAACATATCTAATAAAAAAACTTTCTTTTTCAGGGTCATCACTGACTTCTGCCTTTTACATTTCACTCCCCTAGCATCACTAGCACTGGACTAGGCAGTCTTTTAGGGTCCATTTCACACAAAAACACTAAAGTTTTGAGAGTACAACAAGAGATGCTGCGTAGGGTGACACTTTGTGCTGCGGGAAAAAGGTTTGCAAGCTAGCCACCATAGCTGCCATCTGCTTACCGCGAATTGTCGAAATCCCGAATCGCAAACTCGCAATTGACAAGGTCGACTGTAATTTGTTCTAACTTTTACTTATTTTAAGTTCTCTTCAGAGATTTTCACAGCTATCTTTGAAACAAATGATGACACTATCAAAAGAATATGAGAAAGCAAATTTGCTACAATATTTTTGGAGAAAATATTATGAAACTGTTAATTTAAGAAAAATGGCTTCAGAGATACACATATTGAATAATAATAATAATAATAATAATAATAATAATAATAATAATAATAATAATAATAATAATAATAATAATAATACTAACCTTTCATCTCCTGGTTTCCAGTCCTGCAGTTTTCTTAAAAAATCTGAGAAAGGCATATCAATTCTTCTAGTTGGAGGAATAAATTTTTTTTTGCACTGTTTAATCTTGGTTTCATCATAATATTTAAACTGATTATTTTTAGAAATGAATACCATATACTTCGCACTGCCCATGTTTTCTTTCAGATAGTCTAAGTCCCATTTCAGAGCTGTATCACATAACTTGGTGTCTGTCAGGACAACTGGTTTCTGAAAGAAATATAATAAAAATGGTAATTTGACGAAACTTACCACTAAACAGTAACAGCAACATCAATACATATCAATTAGGCATCTGGTTATGATGACAGTAATTATTTTTGGCAATAAAAATATAGAGCAACAGATTTCCCAATTCATGTACTGTACTACTGTACAGTATTTGATCAAGAGCGCCTCACGGTAAATTTGCGTAAGCACACCCAACTCTGTTATAAAGTCAAAAATATATTTTTCTTGTGTATTTATGTGTGTTTACACCGATTATGACCTTCATCTCGTCGGAAATTGTCTGGGTTTTTTTCCGATTTTTTTCGTGGGGCATTTTCCGAAAAATAAATAATGGCAAAGCGAATACCTGTACAAAATACACAAACAAAAAACACGAAAAAAAATAAACCTGACCTAACCTAACCTAACTGACTCTCACCATATGATGGAATCACTTATATCTCACCTTATTGGACTTCTCTTCTTTATCTTTGTAATAAGGGACGAGTTACCACAATGCCACATACAGTATGTTGGTCTTGATGATATTTACATTCGTTCTTGCACTTAGAACACTTTACTGAGGTCATGAGAACACCATGAGATCAAAAAAATGCTATAGTGTCTTCGTTTTTTTCCCAAAAATTCGCAATCACCTCCATATAATTGAAATAACACCCATTGCAGACTTCCATGGTCGGAAATGAATTTGAATTTCGAAATATGAGACCCAAAACAAAAACCAAATTTGAGTGGGCCAAAAATACCGCAAATTAAACCACAAATCATTTTAATTGGTTGCCCCCCCAAAAAACGCTTTTGATTGGCTGCGTGACGTGTACGGGAACACATGCCCGTGATGATTTATGAAGGAGACTTGCAGTGTGGGAGGTGAGGTAGGCGATAATGGCGGAAGATTAAGGGAAGAAACAGAGAAAATTTGGGATATGCATCTCCGTTATTATTTGTGATGGTAATGTAATAGAAGAAAATTATCTTATAATTAAACGTCTTATTCAAATATGATAATAGATTAGGGGTAGGAATGTGGGGTACAAAACTGCAATAATACCGAATACTACATCAACAATAAAAAAATATGACACAACTCTAGGTTGAAAATCAGACATATAAGTCTGGTTGTCAACAACTGTTGTAACCGAGATGATTGTTATTTACTGTAAAGTGCTATATGCAAGTAACCACAGAGTTTGTCTTATCAATAAAGAGAAAACTGTATACTGTACAGTACAGTGATCACTCGGTTAAAGAGTGCCTCGGTTAACGAAATTTCGGTTCACGAATTACCTTCCATAAGATTCTTCACTTCGGTTAACGAGCAATCCCTCGATTAACGAGTTCCTTACGAGTGCCCCTCAACATGTTTTCGCTTGCTCACTAGCTGTAGTATTAGTCCGCCAATGCAGTAATCGGTTCTAGGGCTTAAATTCCTTACTATTTTAGTAAATATCAAGAAGTTTGTACAGTGGTCCCTAGGTTAACGAGCGCCTCGGTTAACGAGATTTCGGTTAACGATTTACCTTCCATAAGATTCTTAACTTCGGTTAATGAGCAATCCCTCGATTAACGAGTTTTTTACGAGCCGACCTCAACATGTTTTCGCTTGCATTTGGCGGTCCACCAGCTGTAGCATTAGTCCGCCAATACAGTAATCGGTTTTAGGGCTTAAATTCCTTACTATTTTAGTAAATATCAAGACGTTTATACTATTCAATAATTTTAAAAGTTTAATATTAACTTTTTTAGTCATTTTAACAATTAATGAACATAATTGAAGGTAAAGAAACTAGTTTCTGGCGTGCCATCCAGCCTGTTAACACACCAGACAGCCGTTAGTCTCTCTCTGTTTTCAGTGGAGGTAACATCTTGCTTGAGACTCTCTTCAACTAAACGCTTTTTTTCTGTGTTTCCAAGCAAATTAAGGTTGTACCCCACTTAACGCGGTCAATTGAACCCAGAGGGTCCCGCGTTAAGTGAAATCCGCGTTAAGTGAACAACAGAACATATGGGATTAATTCCAATAGAAACCGCCCCACCCCCAAACTCCACTTTTTGAAGGCACATACCTATGTTAGGTATTGAAAAATGTATATTAATTTTATGATGGTACATGCATACAATTAATACTTAAGAGAAATAGAGAAATACAGTCGCCAAGTTAATGTCCATTCAAATAATGGACTCAACTCCCTCCCCCTCTTCTCACACTACACTTGCTGGCTCTTCCCTCTCTGAGAAATTTTGGGGGGAAACCACTAAATTTTAATAAATAATACCTCAAACTAAAGTTAGGATAATATAATTGATATTGCTGGATTCCTTGTAAGACCAGGAATATTTTGAATATAAATGTCATATATTTTGCACAAGATAACATAAGCTATCATAGGAGAAAATTATCTAAAATTTGTATGTTAATGTAAAAATATATGATGTTTATATTCAAAATGATCACCAAATTATAAGAATTCCAGCAATGTAAATTATATTCTGACCGGGTAATTTGTATGAATTTTATGAGCTAAAACAAATATCTTCAGTTAATAAAAAATAAATAATCTTCACAACACTATCTGTCAATCAAAGTACCCCACCTTGCCTCCCCCCCTCTTCCAACCGCACGGTCAGTCCCAACCCTCCCCCCCACCCCCCACCAATCCTCCCTTCCAGGGTTTTTAACATTTAGTATTAAATAATACCTCAGATTAAAGTTAGGATAATATAATTGACATTGCTGGATTCCTTGTAAGACCAGGAATATTTTGAATATAAATGTCATATATTTTGCACAAAAGATAACATAGTTAATTTGAGAAAAATTTTTATCTAAAATTTGTATGTCTAATGCAAAATATATGATGTTTATATTCAAATTGATCATCAAATTATAAGAATTCCAGCAATGTAAATTATATTCAGACCGGGTAATTTGTATGAATTTTATGAGCTAAAACAAATATCTTCAGTTAATAAAAAAAAAAAAATTCTTCACGGGGTAACAGATGGTCGGTCGGTCCCTCCCTCCCCCCACCCCCACCAACCGTCCCAAGGAGATGTGTGGGATAACCACTAAATTTTAATAAATAATACCTCAAACTAAAGTTAGGATAATATAATTGACATTGCTGGATTCCTTGTAAGACCAGGAATATTTTGAATATAAATGTCATATATTTTGCACAAAAGATAACATAGTTACTCTGAGAAAATTTTTTATCTAATGCAAAATATATGATGTTTATATTCAAAATGATCACCAAATTATAAGAATTCCAGCAATGTAAATTATATTCTGGCCGGGTAATTTGTATGAATTTTATGAGCTAAAACAGGCAGTCAGGCAGGGTGGCGGGTGGGGCAAATCTAAAAATAGCGTCTCGAGCCGGACACTCACCGCGTATATGTGGAAAAATCCGTGTTAAGTGAAAGTTCAGCTCTGGCGAGGCACCGCGTATATGATAAAACGCGTTAAGTGAAACCACGTTAGGCGGGGTAATACTGTATTGGTCATTTTGAAATATATTTTACATATTGACAATATATAATGCAGTGCAGTGTTGATTTAAAGAAAATAATCTTGAATTACACCAAGAGAACTAAAAATTTATGGGTGAAATGGTGCCATGGGGTGACTTCTCTTCCATCCCAATGCCTTCTCTTCTCCCTTCTCCTCCACCCCCATTCTAATTCCCATCATCATCATCATCATCCAGGAGCCTTCTACATACACACTTCAAAGTAAGTGTACTTTTCTACCTTTTTTGTTGAATTTAGGCAATTTTCGGTGAGCTGTAACCAATTACCCAAAAACCCATTGAAACAATGGTTTCGGTTAACGAGCAACCTGCTGGAACGGATTGTGCTCGTTAACCGAGGGACCACTGTACTATTCAATAATTTTAAAAGTCTTATATTAAAATTTGTAGTCATTTTAACAATTATTTAACATAATTAAAGTACAGGGACACTAGTTTTTAGCACACCAAACAGCCTGTCAACACACCATACAGGCTCTGTGTCTTTTCAGTGGAGGTAACATCTTGTTTCAGACTCTCTTCAACATAAACTATTTTTTCCGTTTTTACAGTGAAATTATTGGTCATTTTGAAATTTATTTTATATACTGATGATATACAGTATAGTGCAGTACATTGTTGATTTAAAGAAAATATTCTTTATTTACAGCAATTAAACTTCAAATTTTGGTGGTGAAATTGTTATTGAATACAGCATGGGTCCAAAGAAATCTAGAAAGGCGATTTCAATCAAGGTGAAACAGGAAATTATGAAGAAACATGAAGAAGGCATTAGAACAAATGTGCTTAGCAAAGAATATGGCATGTCAACATCAACTGTGTCGACAATTCTTTCACAGAAAGACAAATTCAAGGAAGTGAAAGTGAGAGACAAATCTACCAAAGTGTTTAAAGGTAGATCCCTAATAGCAGAAACAGAAAGGTTACTTCTCATTTGGATTAGGGAAAAACAAATGAAAGGTGATTCAGTTTCGACAGAATTTATTTGTGAAAGAGCCACGGAGATTTACGAACATTTAAAGGCAGATCAACCTGGTTCTTCAGGCACAGAGTTTGAAGAGTTTAGGGCCAGCAAGGGCTGGTTCGAAAAATTTAAGAAAAGAAGTGACATTTTAAGTGTTGTTAGGCATGGTGAAGCTGCCAGTGCTGATAAGGAAGAGACAGCAGAAATTTTAGTGGAACTTAAAGAACTGATGGATAAAGAAAATTATCTTCCACAGCAAGTGTTCAATGTGGACGAATCTGGGCTGTTCTGGAGAAAAATGCCCAAAAGGACATTCATCACCAGAGATGAAGCGTCTTTACCTGGGCATAAACCCATGAAAGACCGTCTCACTCTATTGCTTGGTGCCAATGCTTCAGGGGATTTCCGACTGAAGCCTATGCTTGTCTACCTCTCTTGAGAACCCCAGGGTGTTCAAGAAACAAAAAGTGGTAAGAGGA